TTTGAATAATTTCTAATTAGAGCAAATATTAAAATTAATGTTCTTGTAAACAAATAATTAAGATATATTAAAATTTATTAATTTCATATTTACATACCGTAAACTGTGCTTTTATTTCCTTACAACAAAAGTTTTAATTAATTCAAATAATTTGGAAGAATAATTAGTAAACACAAATTTTCCGTTTATAAAATGCAAAAAACGAGCTTTTTGAATGTTCTAATACATAATAATTAATAAATAATAATAGGAGTGTATTTACTACAAAGTTACTTCATGAGGTCAAATGTCGAGGTTGGGTCAAAGATCAAGGTAAAACACGTAATTTGTCGTAAGCTCAGACTATCGAAGCTATATTCGCACATAATTAAGGTCAATAGCAATATTTAAAAATATTTTTTTACTATTTTTAAACACAAAACAAAAATTGGAAAATCTCACCGCAGATTGAACAACTTTCCCGGAAAACAGCATTTCTTTCCTTACTTGGTTTGTTTTTCTCGATCGTGATTTATGAGCATTTATGAGATTTTACCTTCTGTTAAAATCACAAACAAAAAATATTTTCGAGCTAATAATAACAGGATAATAACAGGTTAGTTCACTCTTCTTGTCAAAGAAAGGAGCATTTTTCTTTGAAATGGTAGGAAGTTTACCTACCTCTCTGTCATTTTATTGTCTAAGATTCACTCGATTTCATAATAAAATTCGTCTGTGATTCTTGAAAGGCTATTGTTAAATGTTATTAGATCAAGTGATTGACCGAAACCTGAAAATGTCGATAATAATAATCACTGTCTTTATAAAGATGAAAGTTTCTTCTTTTCAACAATCTTCCAACATGTAAAATATAAACATTACATCATTGAGATGAGGAGGTTTCTTATTGTTCTAATATTTCCGTGAAGTTGTTAAAACGTTCAGTTCTACAAAATATCTAATTAGAAGCTTTCATCATTACTAAATATTTCTGAATAAATTAAATTAAAAATATTTTATTAAAAATTGGGAAATGTAATCTTCTGCGTTTGATCTTCCCATCACGTTGTTTATCAATTATGTCATAATGAGATTTCCGTCATAAAAAAATTATAACCTAGTCAGCTGTTTATGGGAATTTTTATGTAAATAGTTTGTCTGTTCCGGTGATGTTAGACAACAATACGACAGATGATAAAGTTGAAACGCGTTTGTGTAATGAGAAAATCTTTATTTTTACAACATTTTCAAGAAAATAATTAAAAAAATTGAGATTATAACAAAAATTATTTTTCGATTTATTATCAAAACAAGAACTGAAATTGGGAGCAACAAATTGTTAACAAATTTTGCTTATTTTTTCAGCAAAACACTGTTTTCTGAATCGATTATCTTCAACAAATATTAAAACTTTTTCATTTTATTTTTATTATTTTGCTTCAACTTTGTCTATTTAGAAATGATTTCAATCTTGTTTTCTAAATTAATTAACTTGTTTTTTCAATTTAATGTAAAAAACATGCACAAACATAAATAAAAAATAAAAAAACGTATAAAAKCGTAATTATAGTTCTAATTTTTGCTGAAAAAATTTAATTTTTAAAAGAATAAAAATGAGGAGCAAAAAATTATAAAATAAACTGAGTTTTTTCTAAATGCATTTTGTTTTAATTTGAATTAATTTTTACATTTCTAATCTGTGTTCACTACAATTTTTTATTTTGTGACAATTAACCTAGTCAAATTTTTGTTTTGTTTTATACTTCTATTTATTATTTATATTTTTTATATTCTGCTCCTATAAAAATACCTTGTTTGTTAATCTTTTTGAAGAATTTAGTACACTGAATAGATACAAAAACTTGATTAAAATTTAGCAACAAAAAACATAAACATTTTTCAATGTACAGGAAGAAAATATTTATAGCTTCTTTTATTAAAATTGGAATTTAGATTTAAGAAACAGAACTTACAAAAATTATTCTTTTTAAAAATAAAAATAATCGTAAAGACAAAGAATAAATATTCATGGGTTTTAGTTTAGTTCAATTGTATTTAATCTAATTCTTAATTTAAAAAAATAAATACAATACAGGGTCACTATAAATGATTGTAATTTTTGTCGTCAGGTTGGCAACCAGTTTGAAATTCTAGTATGATTAAATTGAATTACAAACATTACTTTTTTATAATCATTATTTCTTAAAAAGACTTTTCAATTACGCAGTGTTGCCAATTGATGTTTTATTAAAATCACCTACACTGAGCTAGAAACAATTGAAATAAGTACTCTTAATTAATACTCTTAATAAATAACTAAAAAAATATTTTTATATTTCCCTAATTTCGAATAATTGAAACATCTTGAGTATTTACTGTAATACTCCATAATTTATAGTTATTTGAACTATTTCAAACACGTCTTTCGTTAGTAAATTTATTGTAAGTGAAACTTCTCCAGTAATTTAATGATACAATTATTTACCAATTCGCTTCGAGTTTATTCTGCACAGCTCTCCAAATTACAAAATTTGCATATCTTAAAGAGTTCAACCTACTTATGAGTATTGACAGTAAAATTTTTCAATTTGAAACTTAAAAAAATGCTTATTTGAATTTCATTGCAATCAAAACAAGCTAATAACTTTTGTAATAAGAAAACTAAACCTGTTTCTAAATTTTTTAAAATAAAATAACAAATTTTGCATAATGCACTTCTCTACAGGTCAAAAATTTTATTTTTACTTTGATCGACCTTTAAATCGCACGTCAAGTCACTTTGTGGGTAAAAATTGGGCCGAATTGKCCAATCTATATTCAAATTACCCAATTTTCAGCAAAACACACTATGTTTACTGAATCGATTATCAAAAATTAAAACTATTTCATTTTATTATTTTGCTTCCACTMTGTCTATTTAAAAATGATTTCAATCTTATTTTACTAAATTAATTAACTTGCTTTATTCAATTTGATATAAAAAACATGTACAAACATACATAAAAAATAAAAAAAACGTATCAAATCGTAATTACAGTTCTAATTTTTGCTAGAAAATTTTGATTTTTAAAAGAATTAAAATGCGGAGCAAAAAATTATAAAATACTYAGTTTTTGCTAAATGCATTTTGTTTTAATTTTAATTAATTTTTACATTTCTAATCTGTGTTCTCTACACTTTTTTTTATTTTGTAACAATTAACCCAGTCAAATTTTTGTTTTGTTTTATACATTTATTTATTGTTTATATTTTCTTCTTCTCTAC